TTTTTGATAATAGCCAGATCGGAGTGAGACAATATCTTAATGTGGTTTTGATTTGCATTTCCCTGACATTTAGTAACGCTGAGCATTTTTTCATGTGTCTGTTGGCAATTTGTATGTCTTCCTTTGAGAAATGCCTATTCAACTCCTTTGCCCGTTTATTAATCAGATTACTTGTTTTTTTACAAAGTTGTTTGAGTTCCTTGTATATTCTGGATATTAATCTCTTGTCAGATGCATGGTTTGCAAATATTTTCTCCCATTCTATAGGTTGTATTTTCACTCTGTTAATTGTTTCTTTTGCTGTGCAGAAGCTTTTTAGTTTGATATAATCCCATTTGTTTAATTTCGCTTTTTTTGTCTATGCTTTTGGGGTCTTATTAATAAAGTCTTTGCCCCATCCTACTTTCTGAAGTGTTTTCCCTATGTTTTCTTTTAGGAGATTTATAGTTTTATACATTGAAAAAATCCATTTTGAGTTGATTTTTGTGTATGGTGAGAGGTACAGGTCTAGTTTCTTTCTTGTACATATAGATGACCCATTTTCCCAGCACCACTTATTGAAGAGACGGTCTTTTTCCCCATTGTATGTTCTTGGTGCCTTTGTCAGAGATCAGTTGGCTGTAAGCATATGGGTTGATTTCTGGGTTCTCTATCCTGTTCCATTGGTCCAAGTGTGTTTTTATGCCAGTACCAGGAACTTTGTAGTATAATTTGATATTTTGGTTACTATAGCTTTACAGTATCATTTTAATTCAGGTAGTATAATGCCTCCAGCTTTATTTATTTATTTATTTATTCTCAGGATTACTTTGGCTCTTTGGGGTCTTCTGTTGTTCCATATGAATGTTAAGATTGTTTTTTTCTGTTTCTGTGAAGAATGTCATTAATATTTTGATGGGGATTGAATCTGTAGATTGCTTTGGATTTGTAGATTGAATTTGTAGATTTTCACAGTGTTGATCCTTCTTTTTTTTTTTTTTTTTTTCNTGCTGAACCATATGGTAGACCTATCTGTAGTTGTTTGAGGAAACTCCATACATTTTCCATAATGGCTGTACCAATTTACAGTCCCACCGTCAGTGTAGGAGAATTCTCCTTTCTCTGCGTCATTGTCAGCATTTGTTATTCTCTGTCTTTTTGATCATAGCCAGACTGGAGAGAGACAATATCTTAATGTGGTTTTGATTTACATTTCCCTGACATTTAGTAATGCTGAGCATTTTTTCATATGTCTGTTGGCAATTTGTATGTCTTCCTTTGAGAAATGCCTATTCAACTCCTTTGCCCATTTATTAATCAGGTAACTTGGTTTTTTACTGTTAAGTTGTTTGAGTTCCTTGTATATTCTGGATATTAATCTCTTGTCAGATGCATGGTATGCAAATATTTTCTCCCATTCTGTAGGTTGTATTTTCACTCTGTTAATTGTTTCTTTTTCTGTGCAGAAGCTTTTTAGTTTGGTATAATCCCATTTGTTTATTTTTGCTTTTGTTGTCTATGCTTTTGGGGTCTTACTAATAAAGTCTTTGCCCCATCCTGCTTTCTGAAGTGTTTCCCCTATGTTTTCTTTTAGGAGTTTTATAGTTTTATACATTGAAAAATCCATTTTGAGTTGATTTTTGTGTATGGTGAGAGGTACAGGTCTAGTTTCTTTCTTGTACATATAGATGACCCGTTTTCCCAGCACCACTTATTGAAGAGATGGTCTTTTTCCCCATTGTATGTTCTTGGTGCCTTTGTCAGAGATCAATTGGCTATAAGCATATGAGTTGATTTCTGGGTTCTCTATCCTGTTCCATTGGTCCAAGTGTGTTTTTATGCCAGTACCAGGAACTTTGTAGTATAATTTGATATTTTGGTTACTATAGCTTTACAGTATCATTTTAATTCAGGTAGTATAATGCCTCCAGCTTTATTTATTTATTTATTTATTTATTTATTTATTTATTTATTTATTTATTTATTTATTTATTCTCAGGATTACTTTGGCTCTTTGGGGTCTTCTGTTGTTCCATATGAATGTTAAGATTGTTTTTTTCTGTTTCTGTGAAGAATGTCATTAGTATTTTGATGGGGATTGAATCTGTAGATTGCTTTGGATTTGTAGATTGAATTTGTAGATTTTCACAGTGTTAATCCTTCCAATCCAAGAGCATGGAGTGTCTTTCCATGTTTTTGTGTCTTCTTTAATTACTTTCAGTAGCAATTTGTAATTCTTGTACAGATCTTTCACCTCCTTGGTTAAATTTATTCCTAGGTATTTAATTAATTAATTAATTTATTTATTTTGGTGACTACTGTAAATGAGCTAGCTTTCTTGATTTCTTTTTCTGCTAGTTCATTGTTGGAGTATTAAAATGCTACTGATTTTTGCATGTTTATTTTGTATCTACAACTTTACTGAAATCGTTTATCAGCTCCAAGAGTTTTTTGATAGTCTTTAAGGTTTTCTGTATATAGGATCACATCATCTGCATGGGTATTTTTTTTAATGCTGCATGATTGACAGGCAGTGAGGGTTAAAGCATCTCCTGTATGCACATAGGGTGCGTCTGCCAAGACTGGTAAAAACAAGTATTTCTTCTGGGGTGAAAATGCTGAATGTTTCATCACCAGGATAAAGACCCATTTGTGACTCACAGTTTTCTATGACACAATTTTGAGTTAGCTTCCTGCAAAGCCAAGTTTAAAATCTTTGGCTGTGGGGTCTTCTGTGTTGTGGCTCTAGCATTTGGGGTTAGAGAGGGTATCTAATGGTCAGGCTGCAAAAATCTCCCTGCTCATTTCCAATTCCCAGGTGGAGAAGGAAGGTCTGCCTGTCCCCACCCCACATTCATCCTCTTTATTGGTCTGTACTGAATTCACAAATAACAAGGATTTCCACACCGTTTGCTGCCACTGACAGAAGCTAACGAGAACTATGGGGCCTTTTGGCATTTAGGATTGAATTGGTGGGAGGAGTGGGCATTACAGTATGGATTTGCAAGCAGTGGGCGAATCCACAGCCTCGATTTTCCAACAAGAGGCAGAAAAACCTTGAAAGTTTTCTTAACAAAGCACACTGCAGTTTAGAACTGGATCAGCTGTCCCATGTTCTCTTCCTGAGCTGCACTGGCAAAGCTTGACATGAGTCAGGAGGCCACCGGGGCTTCGTGGAAAGTGAAGATGATTTACTGCAGCAGAGAACTAGATTCTAGCCCTCGCAGAGTGATCCACACAAGCCTGTCACCCCTGTCAGTGCTTTGGGACTCCCAATTGTAGAGTGAAAGCAAAATCTAACTATTTTCTGGCCATGGCAGTGGATGAAGGAGAAGAGAGGTGGGAACAAGATTTTGGACAAGAAAAATGTCACCATTCAATTACCATCCCCCGCTTCTATTATCCTACTTCATTATCTCTTAATATTTTATAATTCTATAGCACTGAAAGGCATCATGAAGTTTATCTGCTTCAGTCAATTTCAAACTTGTTTTAAACCCTGGAACCAACTTTCCAAAGGAAATCTAAATTCAACAGCCCAAACAAACAAAAGAGATAAATGCAAACGTGCACCGGATGAGATGGGGTGTGACGGCCCTCAGATTCTCTCCCTTCCTGCCATCACAGTGGATGGCCCCTGAACTGCCTCTGTGGAACCCCTGGGGTGCCATGAAGCATGGTTTGACAACCACTGATGTAACCCAATGGCCTCCTGTATTCCAGATGAGAAAACTGATCTGGAAGCCCGGAGAGGCAAAAATCAGGGATAAGCCAGATTTCTCGACCATATGTTGAGGGTTCTTTAGTGCAATACGATAGTGACGCAGCTGGTGTGTATCTTGTCTCAACTCAGGGAAGTGAGAGGCAGACAGGACAGAACCAGCTGGGGTGACTACACATGTGCAACTTGGTACTTGCCAATGACTGAGGGTCCCTTGGGGTGGGAAAGGCAGGGGAATCGGGCAGGATGGAAATTGGACTGACCAAGAGGATCCCCATGGCTCTGCCTGGCACGTGGCTGTGTGTGCAGTAGCATGGTATAGCAGTTAAGAGCAGGGACTCGGGAGCCGGACCACCTTACCTGGGTCTGAATCCCAGCTTTCACCACTTCTTAGCTGTGTGACTTGGGTAAATCACTTAACTTCTCTGTGCCTCAGTTTCCTCATTCAGTAAATGGAAATAGGAATAGTTCTTAGCTTCTAGGGCAGCTAGAAGGAGTCATTAATAAAATCCATGTGGAATGCATATCTCTGTGCCTGGCACATAGTAAGTGTTCAATAAGCATCAGTTGTTATTAGTATAGGAGGTCTGAGACAATGGACTAGGGGTTTGCTCCTGGTTACTGCTTCCTCCCATCATCCTATAGAAATAATTTCTAGGAAAGACATGGGGGGAGGGGAATGAGAAAGAGCTGAGGAAGAGTGTGCTGCCTTTAGCTCTGCACCTCCTGCCTCCTTAAGCAGTTCTATCCAGTTTGGGTCACAATGGAGGCTCTGGAGCCTACAGGTGCTTTTGGCTCTTCAAGGAAGACCCCCAGGTTTCTGGTTTGAGCAAGTTAGTGTATGGTAGTGCCATCTCCTGAGAAATGGGAGCAGGTTTGCTGGGGATGGGGATGGAGAGCAGCCAGGATGAACAGTTCAGTTTGAAAGTGTAAGTTTAGATACCTGTGAAGATATCCAAGTGCAGATGTCATGTAGACAATTAGATAAACAGATCTGGAGCTCAGAAGGCAGTTTCCTTGGAGGAGGTGACATGAGATAGAAAGGACTAGATAAGGTTTTTAGTCTTAAGTCAGCAGAATAGATGGACTTTAAGGGGTATGGGAAGAGGTATTTGATGTTCTGAGAATGTATTAGAATTTCATGTGCATGTGCCTTTTTCCGGGGAAGAGTCCACAGCTATTATCAGATACTCAAGGGCCTATGACTCAGAGAAGGTAAAGATCATCAGCCTGGCACTGTGGGATATGCTGGTGGTCCCAGATATATAAGGTCCTTATTATACCCTGTCTCTGCTTCCAGGCGCCTGGTGGACCGCCTGGAGAACATGAGGAAGAATGTGGCTGGGGATGGGGTGAACCGCTGCATACTGTGTGGAGAACAGCTGGGGATGCTGGGCTCCACCTGTGTAGTGTGTGAGGACTGTAAAAAGGTACCATCACCCTCCTCTCCCTCCTTCCCTTCTCAGCACCTGCAGAGGGGTTGGGCTCCAGTTTTGAGAGGCCCTGGGTCTTAGGGATGGAGCTTGGATCCTGAAGGTTAGTTGCCAGGATATAATTCTTTCTGGGATGCTCCCATGCCCAACTGTATTCCAAGGTAACCCCAATCCTGATCTTCCCCTGGAAGTTACTCTGATACCTCTGTCCCCTTAGAGCTGAGCTCCATCCAGGATTAACTTGGGAGCTTGGGGTAGAACATGAGCTTTGTTAAAGCCTGTGAGTATCCTGCTTGTGGCTTAGAAAGTTATATGTCCATCTAAAGAGCATGCTGGGCACATGTATACATGTGTGTATATGTGGGATGTTTTAGCATTCTCTTACCTGGGGATGGTACAAGAGACTTAAAAAGCCTCTAATTAGAATTGGAGAAATTAGAACCATTGGGCTTCAAGAGCATTCATTCATGAAGAGGAGTCTTTCTGTGCTCTCTTCACCCTTCCCCCTCTCCTTAAACTCTCTGCACTTGACAATTCCAGGGCAGAGATATAACCATCTTTGTGTCTCCCTGATTCCAAAGAAAGGAATTAAGGTGAACAATCCAGCTAGAGACATCCCTAATGTCACATGGCATCTCCTGCTTGGTGTCCCATTTGGCAATTTAGAATGGAATATTGGGGAAGGTGTATCTATTCTGACAAACCTGTCTGCTGCAGTCAACCATATAGTGGGAATTTTGTGAACTATCAGGCTTTCCTATTTCTCTTGACTGCCAGGAAACTCAGCCAAAAGTATAATGTTCCATCACACAGTCATGACACTTACTCAGATAACTTCCTTGTCCCTGGGGAGTTGAACTTCTCATCATAGTCTAGGTTGTCTCACATCCATTTGGGAAAGAAAGAAGAAATAAATTAATAAACAAAATGGATGGGTATATGGCCTTTCCTCTTTAAAAGTTATGTCCACGATCTCCCCTGTGTGAATGTTGAAAACTCTGACTGCACAGGAACTCTTGGAGAATTCCTTCATCTAGTGCTTGGAAATGACTTAAGTTCTTGTTATTGGAAATAAAACTCAAATTGGAACTCTATCCTAACTGCCCTAGCTCCTGGAAGGAAGTGTGAGGAAAGGAGAGTTCTGGTTCTTTGCATCCACCAGGAGAGAAAGGAGGTCCATTGCCACCCTTCCAGACCCTTCTCCCAATCCCTGTCAGCTCAGAGCATGGCTCACCCAAGTGTGCATTGGCCTGTTTTGTCCCCAGAATGTCTGCACCAAGTGTGGCGTGGAGACCTCCAATAACCGCCCGCATTCTGTGTGGCTCTGCAAAATCTGCATCGAGCAGAGAGAGGTGAGTGACCTGGTCCCATCTGGCTGCTGGAATGCCCTCCCTTCTTTGCCAGCTCCCTTTTCTTCCCTGGAATCAGGGAAACAGGGTGCACTTGGAGGCTGGGGGTCCTGATCGGGTTTTAGATTTTAAGGGTTGGTATGAAAGGAAACAGCTTAGCTGTGAACACTGGCAGAGGACCTCTGAGTGTTTCAATGAATTTCTTTTCTCCTCCTCTGCTTCTGTGACTTTTCTCTTCCTCCTCTCCCTCCCTTCTTCCCTCTTTCTTCATTGCCCTCTGGACTCCATTTTTCCCTCGTCCCCATTTCTCTCCTTCTGGGTCTTCCTCTCCCACTGTCTTTTCTTTCTCTTTCCCTCTATTCCACTTTTGTCTCCATTTTTCCCCCTTCCCTCATGCTCCCTGTCACTTGGGCTCTTTTCTTCCCTTGTGTTTACTGCCTTCTCGTCCGTCTAACTCTTTCTCTCTGTGTCTCATTCTCTTCATGCTCCCACTTTTGTCTCCATTTTTCCCCTTCCCTCATGCTCCCTGTCATTTGGGCTCTTTTCTTCCATTGTGTTTACTGCCTTCTCGTCCGTCTAACTCTTTCTCTCTGTGTCTCATTCTCTTCATGCTTTTTTCTCTGCACTGTCTTTCTCTTCATGTTGTCTCTGTTTCTTTCTCCCATGGAATCCTTCTCTTCCCTGGCCCTGCTTTTTATTAACCATTTTATCTCAATTAAGTACTTTCTCCTTCTCCTGCTTTCTTCCTTACTCACCTCCTGCCGCAGATTTCTGCCTTTGAGGTTACCCATTTAATCTCAATTAAATACTTTCTCCTTCTCCTGCTTTCTTCCTTACTCACCTCCTGCCGCAGATTTCTGCCTTTGAGACTATGACTCAATGACCATGTTCTCCTCAGTATCAGTCAGGTTTCCGGCAGAAAACAGTTGACACACTGCAAAAGGGTAATCAAGAGTTTGATAAAAGGTGTTATTTACAAAGGTCTGGGCAGAGCTAAATGAAATCAGCAAGGGTTGGTGAAGCACCCAGCACCAGCGATGGCAGGATTGCTGCTACCACTCTTAGGACTGAAGGGATGGAGAAAGGAGCAGTTGCCAGACTGGAAGTTGGGTGAAGCCTCACAGGAATGCAGTCCTGTCCAACTAGCAGAGAGAGATCCAAGGAAATAAATGCCACAACCTCACTCTCCTCTTTGCTGCAAACTCCTCTGGTGTTCTTCTTGAACAACTAAACCTGAAGACAGAGTCAAGGAAGTCCAGTTATCACAGTGCATATTGTTCATCCTCCTGCAGCACAGATCAGGGTGGAGGACAGTGGAGAATGGATCTGATGGGGCAGTGGAAGATATTCAGAACACCATCCTAGGTGTGCTTCCCTGTTCTAACCCATAGGGCCAGGAAGAAGGCAAGAAGGTTTTGGGGACGTTGTAGGTAAATCACCCTCTTTAAAACAACCAGTGTAGCAGAAGGCATGCCACATATGAGAGTTGGAGGAGTTAGTATCGAGTCCTTGTTCTTCCACTCTCTGACTGTATTGGATCAGTCCTTAACATTTCTGATATTTATAACATTCTCCATTAGTAAAATAGGCATATTCAGGCCCTTTCTATTGAGTTTTCAGGGCTGTTGTGTGGAGTAAATATGGACTGTGCAAGGCTGTGTACTGGTAATAAAAGTGTGCTGGCTGTGGTGTCAGTGTGCTGAGGGCATGGAGCAAAGATAAAAATTAGCATTCATGAAGACAGTAGCAATGCTGCACAGCTACCATGACTTCAACCCCTACCTCTCCTCCCAGGTGTGGAAGCGTTCTGGAGCATGGTTCTTCAAGGGCTTCCCCAAACAGGTCCTCCCACAGCCTATGCCTATAAAGAAGACCAAGCCCCAGCAGCTTGTCAGCGAGCCTGCTGCCCCTGAGCAGCCTGCTTCGGAGCCCAAGCACACTGCCCGGCCTCCAGCTCGAGGTAGGACACAACACATTCTCCTTTCAGGACCAAGGACAGATCTTGGCTAACCGGTCTGCCTGGAGAATGTATTGACATCATGTCTGTTTCTATTCAGTTTACGGATACTCACCCTCTGGACTTGGGTCTAGGATTCCTATGTTCCCTTCGCAGTTCACCATAAACCCTCATCAAGAGGGCAATATAGGGAACTCTCCAGCAATTCCAAGTTGCCAATAGACTTTTTTTCATCCCTGATGGAATATTTAGAAGTACAACAGAGGTGGAAATTAAAATTAGGAACTGAGAGAGACTCCTACCACCAAAATAAACACTGGAGCCTGAGGGTATTTGGGGCTTGCTGAGAAGGCCTTCCTGGTATTTCTTCTATCAGCCATGAGCAAATCTGAAATTGAGCTAATTAAAAGTGAAAGATGAATAGAAAGAAAATTTTAGTAAAAGAAAATTACCACTGCTATTGTTTCTATAACTATTATCCAAGTATTATTATTAATTATTAAAATGATTTTTTAAAGGGAGATGGAAAACAATATAAAGGAAAAAACAAACAACCACAATAAAAACACACTTTAGTTGGATGAGGCTGCTAGAACTGACCAGATAAAGCCCTTGCAAAAATTTCAATTAACACTAAGTGATAAAATCTGGTCTGAATGACATTTCCAGAGCTGAGTGCAGGCAATGCTTCTGAAAGGAAGGTTAGAGTTGAATGTCTCAAAAATTGAAGCATCCAACAGTGTCTCCTGTAAGACAACTTCTCGAGGTACCCAACACAGTGCCTGGCACCCAGAAGGCATGCAACAAATGCCTTCTTCCTGATAAGGCACAAGCAATTCCTACTTTTTTCAGAGATGGACAAACTGTCAATATACACTGCATCCCTGAAGAGTCCTTAGTTTCCACTCTTAGAGCATTCTTCTTCCTGGTTAAGCATTACTCCCGCTAGGCTGAGAAGACTGTAGGGTATATTATTTTTTAAGCTTTTGTATGCTCCTATGTGTTTGAGCATGCGAGGGAAATAATATTAATGAAATTATAAACAGGAACTAGATCAGAGGGAAGGTTGGGAGGGAGACTTTCTATTTTTAAGAAGTGTTTTGGGAGTGGTAGATGAGCCCCTTTGTGGGCCTCTTATGTAATGGCTCTCCAGGCACCAGGAAACCAGTGTTCCTCATCATTTTTCTCTGTCTCCAGGTGACACTGAAGACAGGAGGGGCCCAGGTCAGAAGACAGGTGGGTTCTGCTGACTCTGTCTTAAACTTTGGGACAGGAGTCCTTTCACCTCGTTCCCTCATTGCCCTTTCTCCACTCAATTGATGCTTCTCCTTCCAGGTGCTGACCTGGCCTCTGCTCCTGGGCGAGGAAACTATGGGCCTCCTGTGCGCAGGGCCTCTGAGGCGCGCATGAGCTCATCTAGCCGGGACTCAGAGAGCTGGGACCACGGCCACGGTGGGGGTGCAGGAGACTCCAGCCGGAGCCCAGGAGGTGAGACAGATGGACAAACCCAGAGGCTTATCTGGATGAGGAGAATCAGAAAGAATGAGGAGGACAGTATTTTTATTCATTCTGTATTTATTGAGCACCTATTGTGTGCCATTTTCTATTCTAGATGCTGGTGATAGTTTATGGTAGAGGAAGGACAGGATTCAGAAATAATTCTGGCTCCAGACATCCATAATTTTGATCATGCAATTTTTATTTTGTTTTATTTTATTTTTTGGTGCTAATGCCATATGTAAGAAAAACGTGAATTTTTGCCCTCCTTCCCAAAAAATCCCTGGGGGAAAATGCCCCTTGGCTTTGAGTGAGGTTAAGGACAACTCACTGTCAAAGATCCATCCAAGTCCTTTCTTTCCTTAGCAAGTCATCTCTGCTGTAAAGATGGAGAGGGTCATCATGGCCCAGATGTGACTGACAGGTACTTTTATTGGGTACCCAGTACCTCTGGTCTCACTCATGGTGGATTTTTTTGGCAAGAGTGCTCACTGGGGAGAGTCCTTGATCCCTGGACCTTGAAGGCAATGTCTACTGTGGTAGGGATATCTGTGTTCCGTAACCCCTTGTGTGAGACCTCACTAAAGCTTCATTTCTTCTGTAGTGAGGGGCTGAGTCTGGGTCTAAGTCAGGTTGACTGAATATTTAGGTCCCATGTTGACCTCTGGCCTTCTCTTCCTGAATTATGGGTTTGTGGCTTGGCACCTCAGTTCCTCTTCAGGGCAGCAGCAGAGCTGGGCACATACCTTGTGCTTCATCTGCTGCCCAGACTCCCTAGTGAACCCACGGTTCAGATGGACAGAGAAAGATGAATTTCTCAGATATGCAACATCATAGAATATTTACTGAGTGCTTACTATGCATCAGATACTGTCCCACATATATTAACTTATTTAATTCACATGTATTACCTTATTTAATCTTTGCCACAACCCCAAAATCCACATATGAGACTTTTATTTTTCCCATTTTACAGAGGGAGAACCTGAGGCTCAGAGAGGTGAAGTCACTTCCAACACAAAGACTGTACTTTTTGTCTTTCTCTTCCAGAGGCGAAGTTTTTATTGGCAATGCTTTTTTTTTTCCTTTTTGTCTTTTTTACTGACCGGCAACGGGATCGCAACCCTCGGTGTTGCGCCCACACCGCGCTCAGCCAGTGAGCGGGAACCGGTCTCCACATGGGATCCGAACCCTCGGCGGGAGCGCCACCGTGCTCCCAAGCAGCACACTCTCCATTGCGCCACCGGGCCGGCCCTGGCAATGCTTTTTAACATCTTTTTTATTGTTGTAAAACATAGGTAACATAAAATTTACCATTTTAACCATGTTTATTTGTACACTTCAGTGACATAAAGTACGTTTACCTTGTTTTCCAACCACACCACTATCTCCAGAACTTTTTCGTCATTCCAGACTGAAATTTTGTATCCATTAAACAACAGCTCCCCATTTTTCCCTCTTTCTGGCCCCTGGTAACCACTATTCTTTCTGTTTCTATGAATTTGACAATTCTATGTACCATGTACAAGTGAAATCTTACAATATTTGCCCTTTTGTGTCTGGCTTATTTCACTTAGCTTAATGTCTTCAGGGAGCATCCATATTGTAGCATGTGTCAGAATTTCCTTCCTTTGAAAGGTTGCGTAATATTCCATTGTTTGTATACCCCACATTTTGTCTATCCATTCATCTGTTGATGGGCATTTGGGTTGTTTCCACCTATTGTAAATAATGCTGTAGCGAGCATGGCACACAAATATCTGCTCAGGTCCCTGCATTCAATTCTTTTGAGTATATACCTAGAAATAGAATTGCTGGATCATATGATGATTCTAAGTTTCATTTTCTGAGGAACCACCATATTGTTTTCCACGGGGGCTGCACCATTTTTACATTTCCACCAATAATGCACAAGGTTTCCAATTTCTCCAAATTCTTGCTAACACTTGTTATTTTCTAGGGTTTTTTCTTTATCTTTTTTTTTTTTTTTTTGGTTTTGAGTTTTGCTTTTTGTTTTGGGGGAGGGGATTGAGTTTTTTTAGTTTTTAATAATAGACATCCCAATGGGTGTGAAGTGGTATCTCATTGTGTTATTGTAGTTTTGATTTGCATTTCCCTAATGATTAGTGATGTTGAGCATCTTTTCATGTGCTGATTGGCCATTTGTATATTTACCTTACAGAAATGTCTATTTGAGTCCTCTGCCCATTTTTTAAATTGAGTTCTTTGTTTTTTGCTCTTGAGTTGTAAGAGTTCTCCATATTCCTTATCAGATAAATAATTTACATATATTTTCTCCCATTCTATAGATTGTCTTTTCACTTTGTTATAGTGTCATTTCATGCACAGAAGTTTTTAATTTTGATGAAATCCAATTTATTATATTTATTTTTTTGCTGCCTGTGCTTTTAGTGTTTTATCTAAGAAACTATTGCCAAATCTAAGATCATAAATATTTTTTTCTATAGTTTTATAGTGTTAGCTCTTATAATTGGGTCTTTGATCCATTTTGGTTAATCTCTGCATATCAAATCCTGTGCTTTTACCTCTATATTATTTTGTCTCCCGAGGGAAAAAAATCACAGGACATCTCTGACCCAGATTTGGATTCTCTGTCCCTCAAGACTCCTTTTTTCTATAGTTTTATAGTGTTAGCTCTTATATTTGGGTCTTTGATCCATTTTGGTTAATTTCTGCATATCAAATCCTGTGCTTTTACCTCTATATTATTTTGTCTCCTGAGGGAAAAAAATCACAGGACATCTCTGACCCAGATTTGGATTCTCTGTCCCTCAAGACTCCATGTAAATATTTCCCTTTTCTAGGAAACTTCCAGTATCCACCTGCCCCACCTTGAGTTGAGTTAATTGCTCCCTCCTCTGAGTTCCCAGAGCAGTGAGATGCAGCCCTCATGCAGCGCTTATCACCATCTACAACATATTATAGCCTGAATCTCTCTTTCTGGTCTAATGCCAGGGACATGTCTTTCTCTATTAATTTGTTATATTTCAAAATATTTATTGAGTATCCACCATAATTTTAGCTCTTCCTCTTCATTTTTCAGCCTATACTAAGATTTCTGGTTCATTACAGGCTCTCAAGCGTTTGCAGATTTGAAGTAATGGTTAATATTAATAGCAACGAAAGTTTATTGAGTACCCACTCTGAGCCAGGCATGTGAATAAACCCTTTTCATGTGTTATTTCATCTAATTCCATCAACACTTTGGTATAGGTACTATTAAAATTATCCTCAGTTAATAAGCAAGGCAAAGAAAGACCAGCAAAAACAACTTGCCTGAGTCACGTGAAATTGATAGCAGAGCTGGTAACTGAAACCAGGCATTCGAACCCAGGTAACTCCTGGCTGGTCTGCTGTAACTTCCATTGGAAGGGCTGAGAGCAGCTCAGTGGAACTAATTCCCAGTAAAACTTCCTTGTTCCAGGGCTTAATCCTGGAATCTCAGGGTCCACCCTCACAAAGAACAGAAACTCAGAGGTTCTCTGAGTTAGGGCCATGATCATTCTCTGCTTGCACACTCTCTATAATGGGGAACTCACTACCTCATGGAGCAGCCTGTTCTATTGTTGATGAGCACCAATGTCAATTATACATTTCTCATTCAACAGGTACTTATTAAACATCTACTACATCCCAAGCCTGGTATTAAGCAATCAACAAGTCCTACCTTTAGGAGCTCACAGTCAAAAGTGGCAAAGTTTAAGCATCTGTCCAGCAGAAAGATCTAAATTCAGGAAAGGTGGGATCCAGCCCAGTGAGGTAGGAGAGAGCAGGGCTTTCTTCCCAGAACATCACACCTTCTGGGCACCAGGAACTGCTGTGTACATTGTCCCACTCAATTCCCCAGCAGCTCTGAGGGAAGCGGTAGCAGCTAAGGGTCTCAAGCACAGACTCTAGAGACCAACAGCCTGAGTCCAAACAAAGCCAAGAGACATTGGGTGAGCTCCTTAACCCCCTGTGCCTCAGTTCCCCATCCTCATTTTGGAGATAATAAGGCATGAACCTCATGGGGTTGTTAGTGTAGAGATAAAATCAGTACTTATATTTAATGTCTCTGGCACATGGCAAGCTCCAAATAAATATTTTCTCATTATTACTATGAGGTGGGTAGAATTGCTGTCTCCATGAGACATTCGAGGATCAGAGAGAGTGAGTGACCAGCCCAATGTCACACAGCTTGTAAAGGAAAAAGCTGGAATGCAAAGCTAAGTCCATGTGAAGATATAGATTATTTTAATAATGATAATATACCTGTATTATCAACATCTGACATGTGTTGAGTGTTTACTACAGGCCAAGCACTGTTCTGATACTTTGCCTATACTGTATCATTGATATTTTAATCACAAGCCTAGGAGGCAGTATGATTCCCATTTAACAGATGAGGAAACTGAGGCCCAGAGAGAATAGGTGACTTGTGCCAGGTCACACAGGCAGAAGCAGGATCACAGAACCAGTGCTTTTTAACAACCATGCTGCTGCTGTGATTGCTTAGAATGGCCTGGGTATTGAAAGGAGAGAACACACCTTGAAGGGAGGAGAAGAGGGTTGGAAAGAATTGGGGGGGTGGGGTGGGGGTGCCACCTTCGTAGAAATCCAGGGGGCTTTGCCTCACGTGGGCTGAACGGTCCCAAGCTGCTTCTTGCTGTGTGTGTGTGACATCATGGCTGTTTTCTTTTCTTTCCCCTGCAGGTTTGAGACGGGCCAACTCAGTCCAGGCCTCCAGACCTGCCCCGGCCTCGATGCAGAGCCCAGCACCTCCTCAGCCTGGGCAGCCAGGTACCTACCACTCACCTGCCCACCTTCCCAGGCCATCACTCAGTTGTGACCCCAATACCTGTCCCCTCTTGCTTGCAGAGCCCACTCTGTGACCCCAATACCTGCCCCCTCTTGCTTGCAGAGCCCACTGTACTTTCTGTAAAGCTGCAGCCACTAAATCCTAAGCTCTTCTAAGAACATTAGAAGGCTGCTGTGTGGGGGTATGGGGGGTGAAAATAGGAGGCGGAACATCTTACCTACCTAGTGCAAGAAGCGACAGTGCTCTATTCATCAGGGTTTCCTACCTCCGGTGTCACCATCCTCACTTGACAGAGGAGGAGGAAGCTGAAGCTCAGAAGTTCCCCAAGTGCTGGGTCTTGGACCCAGGCTTTTCTGATCCCCCGATCCCTCAGTGGGACTGTTCCTGAAGCCCTGGTTATCTCTGCTGCTGGGCTTGTGTCCACACCTGTGGATTGAGGGGGGAGAGGCAGACACCCAAATGACACTGCCCCCTCTGCTACATCCTCTTTCTCTCTTCTCCACACTCAGGGCCCTTGGGAGGCAGCAGACCCAGTCCTGGGCCAGTGGGACGTTTTCCAGATCAGAGACCAGGTAAGTGTTCATTTTCTCCTGGGCCCTTGCCCTCCCAAGTGGCCACTTCTCTCCCAACAGAGGGCCAGGGGCTGCCAGATCCTGGCTCAGTCTGTACCCTGAGACCAATCTGATGAGGTCAAAGCAGCCCCCCTCAATCCAAAACTCTGGATAGTCCATACCAAGATTAGATGGAAAATGCCAACACATATGGTGGTTAAGAGCACAGACTGCCTGGGTTCAAATCCCTGCTCTTCCTCTTCCTAGGTGTGTGACCCTAGGCAGGGAGCAGCAGGGGAGATCTGGGGTGGCTTTTGTGAGTTGGACAGAGGCAGGACTGGCAAGTGCCCAGACCCACTATGTATTGGGAGGTAGGGAGTGTTCCAAGAGATTCTGGTCAGGTGGAGAGACCAGACCCACACAGAAGAAAGGGACCAAAGGCTGTGTGACCAGTGGCATGGCCTTGGCTGGTCATGTCATCTCTCCTTATTGAAAAATGAGAAGCAGAACACTATCTCCCACACAGGATGAGGAGCAGGTGAACTGAGATACCTCCTGGGAAGGTGCTTCGTAAATTGGAAGTCATTACATTGTTCTAATAGTGTAACAACAAGCAACACTTGCTGAACACTTCTTTCCTGCTGGGCACTATTCTGAGTGTGTTATGTGCATTCATTTGTTTAATCTTCCCAACAAGCCCGGGAATAGTTGCTTTTACTACTCCCATTTTACAGATAGGGAGATGAGTCTCTGAGAGGTTTAGGGACTTATCCAAGCTCACACAGCCAGTGAGTATAGGGGCTGGCAGTCAATTGCACAGTTGTAGCAGATCAGAGGCCAGACCTGGGTGAAACATCAGCCGTCTCCCCACGTTCCCTGTGCTCCCATACTATGGTTCATGGGTCTGCATTCTCAGGAAGAAGGAGTAGGGAGAGTCCCCCCACCTTGTCTGCCACGGGCTGTTTCTGCTCTGGACATGTACTGTGTCTATCCACTTCTCTGCCTTGCCTCATCCTGGCCTTTGTCCTGAAACAGTGTCCACTGCTCTTTCCATCTGCTTTAAATGGCCCCCTGACCTGCCAAGCATAGATGATCCCTCCCAGTGCCTGTTATTAGCTTATCCCAGTGGTTTATTACAAGCCTGTTTCCATTCTCATGTCTATAGTCCTCATGCACTTATCTCCAAGTTTGACAAGTATTTATTGAGCATGTACCAGGTGCCCCAAACTGTTCCAGGTACTGGGAATACCATGGCAAAAAGTAACAGGCAAGCTGGCTGATCTATTGGAGCTAACATTCATTCTAGTGTACAGAGACAGTTAACATACCAAAGAGTTCATTTCAAATAGAGACAGAGCACTGTGAAGGAATAAAATAGGTTGAGTGACTGTGAGGGTGGTTGTTTTAGATGGAGTGGTCAGGGAGGGCTTTTCTGAGGAGGTGACATTCGAGCTGAGATGTGGATAATAGGAAGGTGCCAGCCATGTGAGGATCTAGAGGGGGAACATTCCAGGCAGAGGGAACAGCAAATGCTAGGACTCATTTATTCCTTCAGCAAATAAGTGAGCACCTGTGCTGTGCACACTGGGGACACAGCAGTCAACATAGCCCCAACCCTTGCCTTTATTGGGCTGTCAATCTAACAGGGCAGGAAGTCACTAAGCAAGTGCACAAATGATTAGCTGATCACAGATGTGCTATGGGCTCTAAAAAGTGGAGGATCTACTAGGATCAGTTGTCCAGAATAAGGACCAAGACCTTTTCTCTTCTGTAGTCTCAATACATAGCCCAGACCACATAGTAAGTGCTCAAGAAATGTTTGTCGAATGACTGAATGAACATTCTCTTGGTTCCTGTCTCTTCCCCCTTCAGCCACCCTGGGAGCCCTGGAATTCAGCCTACTCTATGATCAGGACAACAGCTCCCTGCAGTGCACCATCATAAAGGCCAAGGTGGGTGAAGGGGCCAAGCCAGGGGACCTCTCAGGGTGCTCTGGCATTCCCAGAAGACTCAGGTGGGGATGGGTTACCAGGCCTGTCTCTTGTTGTTGCCATGTCTATCTGTGACAGTGACAGTGATGAGAAGAGGGCACTCATTAGCCTTGGTGAATTCCTTTGGGGGAGGTTTCCTCCAGGTATGGTCCCAGAAGGGGTTCACTTAGCAGCAGCCACCTCCTGGGAGTGGAGTCAGCCAAGCTTCAAGGGCAGAGCCACATCTGCCCAGGCTGGTCCTCAGTGTCTCTGGAGAGGACGTGGAGGTGCCGTCAGGAGGTGATGACAGCCTGGCTTGATCGCTGACATGGCCATGAAATAGCACCATCCCCAGGTCATCCTGGCTCCTTCTGCTGATGTGGCCATCAGGCTGGAGCAGCAGTCCAAGTTGAGGACCTGTTGTTGCAGATACAAGGACACTAATACGGCTTTTGGTGGCGAGGGGTGGGAGAAGCCACAGTACAGTCTCCAGGGGGAGGGAGCTGACTCAATTCCAGACCCTAAGGAAAGCTGGGTGAAGCCAGTGCAATGTCCCCAACCCCAAGTCTGGCCCATGTAAAAGAATAAGCAAGGACTCAGGAACCAGACTCCCTGGGTTCAGATACCAGCTCTGCCACTTTGTGGCTGTGTGATTTAGGGGAAGTTACTTAACCCCTCTGGTCTCAGTGTGTCTGTTTGTAAATTGGGGATAATAGTAGTGCTTCTCCCATGAGGATGGTTGTGGGTATTAAATGTAAGGTGGCCACATGTTCCAGTTTGCCCATGACAAGCTGTGTGATTTAGGGGAAGTTACTTAACCCCTCTGGTCTCAGTGTGTCTGTTTGTAAATTGGGGATAATAGTAGTGCTTCTTCCATGAGGATGGTTGTGGGTATTAAATGTAAGGTGGCCACATGTTCCAGTTTGCCCATGACAGTCCCCATCTGTGCCAGTTGCCTGGCTATAATAATTAAGAGTTCCTTCTTTCTCTCTGAAAATGTCTGAGTTTGGATGATAAATGAGGTATGAAATGGTTAACACAACTTCTAGATCAATAGATCCCTCTGCCAAGTCACTTCTACAGCAAGCATTTGTTAAGCACCTATCATGTATTGGCCACTGTGGAAAGCACTTAGATGCATTTAAACCTGCTGATAACACAGAGAGGTAAGTACATGTAATATCTTGTTTCATCTTCATAGAAATCTCTGAGGTAGGGAACCTTATTAGCCCCATGGTACAGATGGAGAAACTGAGGCTTAGAAAGTTAAATCTTAAGGACACACAGCTGGTAAAGGATGGAGCTGATCTTCACAGATGAGATCTCATTTAATCCTCCAGGAACTCCATGAAGCAGCAGCTGCTGTAAGCTCCATTGAACAAATGGGGAAACTGAGGCAAGGAGCTCACCGGACAAATTACACGACATTACTACTGTGAGAGAGAATTGTGGGAGCTCAGAGTTGGGACACTTGCCCCAGCCCAGGTGTGGAAAGATGGAAAGAGTGTCTGAGTCCCAGGAATTTTAAGGTTGTTTGTATTAACAAGCTCAACTTAATTCCTACCCCAGATTCCTTTCTCCACAGTGTCTTATCCGAGCCTCATCCCAGTCCTGTGAGGGGTGCCAGGCAGAGATTGTAATCCCCATGGATGGAGAAACCAAGGTCTAGAAGTGAGTGCAGGAGTTAGGGCCAGAACTCAGGAGTTTCCTCCTTCCCCCGCCTCTCCTTGTCCCCACCCTGACTATTCTGGGACATCTTATCCCATCTTAGTAATAACAATTCAACCTTGATGGAGTGCTTATTACGTGCCAGGTACTCTACAGGTGGGATCACATTTAAATTTCACCACCCAATGAAGCAAGTACTGTTCTCATCCCCATTTTACAGGTGAGGAAACTGAGGCTCACAGAGGTTAAGAAATTTGCCTAAGGTTACACAGCTAGGGAGTGACACATCTTTAAACCCTGTCTGCCCGATTCCAGTGCTCTTTGCACACAAAGTGGACCGACGGGTGGGGCAGATGCCAGGGGCTATGCCCATCACCTATGAAAGTTGAGCTCCAGGCTCTCCTGAGATCCTCACACCATTCCCTCCTTCTCTTGCAGGGACTGAAGCCCATGGATTCCAATGGCTTGGCAGATCCCTACGTTAAGCTGCACCTCCTGCCAGGAGCCAGCAAGGTACCATATGGCCTGGGCATCTCTGCAAG